GTCTACATTGGGGTTTTGGAGCTTTTCTTTGCCTGGTAGTGGGTGTAGATCAGTAGATGTCGCAAATATTCGTTTGCTGTGGGGTTGTGACGCCGTTTGAGACTCGTTGAAGATGATAGTGGGCTCCACAAATCACCTTGACTTCAGAAGGACAAGACGTTTCTCTCGTCCGTTGTAATGTTGACTTCCATCCAGCAGAGGGCAGTACAACTACATTCAATGGCGCGTTTCCTCCCTTCCATCAAGATGTGCAATTCCGTAGGTTTGCAAGCGTAATGAGGGCCGCCGTCTGCCTCGAGCCGTTGGACTTGCGATGCAAAGATAGATCATCTGTAAGGTTATTGCGCCCAATGCAACGTACATCAGCTCTGCCAAATACCTCACCTTGAACCTCACGGGATCCAGACTATGAGTCCACTAACTGCGAACCGGAAATGTATTAGTAAGAAATCACTGATGAATAAAGTTGTATGCCAGCTCAGAGCATAGGTGCTGATAGTACTGGGGACAGCTTCAGAATGACGTAATCGCCCAACCGTGAATTTAAAAAAAAGACAAATTAATTTACATTTATGTTCCGTTTACGTTGGACCGACATTGAGCCTTCCTGGAGTGATGTGTCGGTCGCGAACGAGCCGGTACAAAAAGCCGGCTCTTTGAAGTGAACGATGAGAATCAGCACCCTCCCTCGAGAGCCGGCTCTGTCATTTTCCTTCTCTCTCTCTCTCTCTCTCTCTCTCTCTCTCTCTCTCTCTCTCTCTCTCTCTCTCCCTCCCTCTCTACGTTTTGGTTATTTAAAGCAGAGTATGGTATAATTTTGAATGGTCAGGGCCACTTGACATCCACCGAGGCCCGATGTGGCCCACAATGTGAAATGAGTTTGACACCCATGCTATACATGGTCGTTTTTTTCGGGTTAAAATGCCTTTCTATACATGATCTTTTTTTTCGGCTAAAAACGCCTTACTATACATGATTGTTTTTTTCGGCTAAAAACGCCTTACTGTACATGGTCGTTTTTTTCGTGCCAAAAACGGCATACGATACTATGTCGTTTTTTTCGTGCCAAAAACGCCTTACTATA